TTGTATTTCTTATCGCCGGTGTGTTTAAACATATGTCGACGCAAATCGCGCAGGAAGTGCGGGGTATAGCCGCAGTCGGGCCACGGGCACCGGTATCTGCCAAAGCCCGTGAATTTATGGCGCCTCAACTCCTCCAACGCCGACAAACTGATGAGTCCTTCCGGCAGTTTCCCAAACGCATCGTTCATACGGAGGATGTTTAGGTCGGAGTCCGTCACTCGCAGTACTCGTGAGTCGTTTTTCGCCGGCCTTCCTCTGCCTGCCCTTTGACTACATTTCCCAAAAATTATAGATTAGTTTTCAATTATTTGTAAAGTTATAGAAAAGGGAAAAGAGATATATATATTAGGTTTAAATGTGTATTTATTAATGTCCTAATTGTTGCATGATTTAATTTAATCATATGTTAGATTAGTATGCCTTTAGATTAGTACAGTAGTGGGGAATAAGGTGTTATCATAAGGTATATGAACACAAGTTTAATACCTGTGTTTATTACACTTTGTCCTGAGAATATGTAACAAAATGTGACAAAATGACAATGATCAATAGGAGCCTATGTACTGTACTCTAACATAGAGCACAAGTCCTTAAAAAATTTCCGAGAACTTAGTTCAACAGTACACAACTATTTGCACAAATAACAAATATAATAATCAGATTAGCTTTGTAATAATAGTTTGAAATGTGATATTAATGTTCTCATTGCACTTGATATGAAATTTATGGTATTGTATGTACTGTTCCTTTATTTCCCCCATAGAAAGTGCACTTTTTATGTACTTAAAGTAACTTATATTTGCTAATAAACTCATTCAAAGTGTGATTCAGTTCGAGTGGTAGACAGTATGAGGCGAATGTGTGGTACACTGAAGGGCATAAAGTATTAAATCACGAATCATATGATATGAACCATTTAAAGATAACACTGCTCATTGCATTTTAATGGAAATAAATGTGAAATAATAGAAATAAATAAAATGCACAACACAGTTATGCCTGATAAGGGTTCGTGCGAAGGGGAAAAGGATGTAGGGGTCAGGATATAGTAGAATAGTTTAGATTGCCATTTGATTTGGCAATTAAAACAGATATAGATAACGAGTTGGCACTTACACAGTAAATGTTGGGCTGACGTGTGTCAACAAATGCTGGTCAAGACTAGGCTTCAGATTAAAGCTGAGGTCGCATTCACTGCATTTGTTGGGCAAGTGTTGCATCCCATCGATGGCCGCCACAGCACCGGCTGTTGACACCGATATGTGTGTCGTGGGAGGACTGGTCCTACTTGTGCTGCGCTGACAGGTCTGGACAATCGGCGTCGTCTGTACCACCGCTGGACTAAACACTTCAGGGCTCTTCCGTTTCGATAGGTTCTGAGGCATGTCTTCGTCGAT